ACCCATGTGTGTACCATGAGCTTGCTCTCCTCCATCCCAGGAGAAATACATCTGGGTTTTAGGCAGTTTAAGAGGAAAACCAGCTTACATATGTTTTAAATAAATAAATCAATATTATATTAATTTACAAATTAACTCTACATTTTCAAGTCACATAGGTCCTCCAACACAAATCAGATTCATAGCAGAGTAACGCTTTTGCATTGCCCTACATATATCTGAGAGCTTTTATGGCAAAGATTTCACCATCTTAAGCTGCCACATCCAAACACATACAGAAAGGCACAAGTAACAAGCTATAAAATTATTCATATGAAATAGAGAAATTGAACAACGCTGGCTCAAATCACATTTACAAAAGACACATTACAAGCAATATTATGCAATTATTAAGCAAAATACATCACAGCAATATTATAATACTACCCAAAACCACTCAAAGAAGCAGCTATACTGGTCAAAATCATGAGCACACCTACCTAGCAGGTCTTTTAAGGCTTTCTAATTTTTTCATACCCCTAGACAAAGTGAATACATCAGAGGAGTGTTGTAATTATATAGACAATAAACAAGGAATACCTGTTAGTAACTTAGACTATCAGACTTATTATCTGTTTATTATCTGAATTTACAGGAAAATGTTCACTCTGCACATCAAAAAAACAACAGAAACCCACCTCCCCCAAACTTTCAGCTAATTACACATCTTAATTAAAATAAAGCTTTTAGGCACCGCATGCTTACTTTAATACAACAGCTCTTTTACTAATTCACACTCCTTCCCTTTCCCACTGCCACTACTGGTCAAAACCAGGTTTCTGCAGTGAAAAGAAATTCCCCTTTAAAAAGTGAATTGTGGGTAAATAGATGAGATTATAAATAGCAGCTGGGTGGAGCTCCTTAAAGAATGAAGGCACTTGAGCACCCAGGGTACTGGAATCACCAAGTACCACACTTTCTTCTTCAAACTAAGCTAATTAAAGGAGATAAAACTGGATTATGACCACCAGAAACACAAAAGCGTAACTTCTCCCTGCAATAACTATGCAACTAGTGAAATAACATATGGCGAAGAGCATCTCTTCTGAAATTGCCATATATAATTCACAAAGACCAAGGCCACGTAGGAATACTCCAGTTTGTCAGAAACATTTACCTTCCTCGGTCATTTGATGCTTTCTCTTCCTGCAGCTCCCTGAATTAATAAATATGTTCCAATTTTTCAAGAAATGAAGCAGGTATACTAGAGACAGAAATCTCATTCAGTACAGAAACACGAATGTTCCCCAGAGCACACTCAATCACATGCACTAATTAACAGCCTTGCTGGTACCAGCAGCGTATCACTCCTCACTACCAGGCGAGGATGACATACTTTTCCAGTGGGTTTTGTTAATGTGTGCTAAAACAATTAGAGATTTAAGGTTTTAACGCTAGATCCTGGTGACCCCACGCTCCTGGTCCATCCACGGCACCACTCTCCCTCTCATTACAGTTCCTGCTCTTGATGGCTTTCCCTTTCTCACTGCTGCATTTCACAGGGGATGATTCCCTGCTGTTTAGGATTACCAGGAGCAAAAAAAGCAGCAAATGTTCTTCAGCCTCCGACTGAAGCAGCTGCTGATGACCGACAGCATCACTGACACTGGCCACACCAGGACACCAAGGATACTATCACACCAAACATTAGCGCATCTTTATCCATCGCAGCCAACACTCAAGTTTTCTCAGGATCTGACAGCAAGGCCAAATTTGGGTCACATTTCACAGGACTTCACAAAACACAAGCGCAATACCTTGAATTGCATTTCAAAACTTCTCAGCATGGAGTCGTTCAAGAAAATCAGTCTCTCTTACAAATCACTGCCTCTCCTCCTTTCTCCACCTCCCCAAATCCAAATTTACTGCCTGCTGAGCAGCTACAGTTAAACATAAAAGTCAAGGTAAACGTCAGATTAAAGCAGTTTTGTCAGACTAAAGCAATTTTTAGTAAGACCTATAAAATGGTGTTGAACAACCTTAGAGCCATTGAAAACTGCAGCTTTAAACTATCATGACGATCATTTTCAAAAGAGCTTACACCACCTGTAACTTTCGGTTGCACCAACACAGATGGTGGAAAGCACCGCTGAACATGAGGCTGTTGCCACACAGAGCAAGCTAGTTCGTAAAGGAGAAAATCTTTACAAAGATAGGACATGGATGCCCAGAACACACCCCAGACTACATGAATTTAATGAAGAGAACATTTAAATGCAAATGAAATTGTTTACTATCTTGTACCAGGTTATTAAAATTGTTATTTAAATAGCTGGAAAAACAGAAGGGCTTGAGAGTTCGAAAGGAGCATGGCTGCCCATTCCCATCCCAGGTCACTCAGTCCCAACACAGAATTAAGACTCCTTACCCCAAAGAAACTGAGCTAAATGAGTCTGACATAGGGAACGAGATCTCAAGTCTTCAGCACAGACAGGGTTTTAAGCCCTTGTTTGCACAGAGGGTGCTGAGACAGGCAGTAGGACAGAGCAAGGGAGAGCAGGGGCAGAGAAGACCCTTCAGGAGAAAGTGCAGGGCAAGGATGATGAGGATCAGAAAGAGAAGAAAAAACCTGAAGGTTGTAAACTCAAGGGAGGGCAACCTGTTAGAAGAAGAGGCTGACAAACTTGGCTAACAGAGCAGGTAGATGATGGAGCACTGGCTCTGGCTTCACTCAGGAACAGATCACTAGAGGCAAAGCCCAGTGTTGATGGGCTGAGGTGCACCTGTACCGACAGCTGCCTGTCTCTCCAGAGTAAAGCAACAAGCGCAGTCAGGTGACGAACAGCCAGGCTAGATGTTGTTTCAGAGAACTGTCCTGGACAAGAGGCGGCGAGTGGGTGTGCTGTGCTACAAAACAGCTGCTGCTCCGCTCCCTGGGAGCACTTACAGCCGCAGCACCGGTGCCATTAAGGGTACGGTGTCAGGAGGAGTTGGTGGCCTAGAGAAGAAGTTGCCTGAAGGCCAAGCCATTTTAGCTACCCTGCTAGTTGTACAAGAACGAAAAGAGTCCAGACCAGTGCCTGACAAGACTTTTGAAATGGTTAAGTCTCCCAGGCTACAGGCGTGTGTAAAGTGGAAGCTGGGCTATGAGGCAGTTAATGCCCCAGATGACTGTGTAAACTATCAACAAATAATGCCTCTAAAATGAAGAAATGACAGTCAGGGGAAACCGCTTTCAGTGACAGGGCAGGAAAGGCAGCGACTTTCTTTCCTGTCCTTCCCTTCTGCCATTCTTATAAAATTGGAAGATGGCGGGGAGAAGGATTTAATCAAAATACGTAGGTGAGCAGCCTTTTTGGGAGTAAGCAGCTAAGTTGTTTTTTTAAAAAAAAAACCACCAACAGAAAATACTACAGCAGTTCTTCATGTCCTGAAATGCTTTCTATAATACTACAGATAAACTAACGCTACTTCAAAACTAAATGTATTAGACAACTCCTGTAGGTCAAGTACCCTTGACTCTTTATAGTACTAGCTTTACTACAAATGTAGATATCAAGTTTGCCCCAAAAACTCTTCCAGAAGCATCAGCTTCTTCCATATAAAAATTTAAATTAGGCAAAGAAAACTTGAATTCTAAAACTTCATAGAAAACAACGAACAAGCGAGAGCAGCATGGGTTAGTGTGCAGACACAACTTTATCTGATCTAATCAACTATTCTGAAATAACTACACCAATACTTACTAAGCAGCATCTACAAATCCCATTTACAAATACACAAGTACCTTTAGAAATACCTCAAGATCACTATGCTGAAGCTTCTGAAACTTCCTGACACATGCTGATGACTTCTTTTGACTCCACCCCCCCCTTTACTTGACACTATTTATCACTAATGAACTGATGTAGATCAGCAGATAGCCAGGAGGGGGAAGTAAACAAAGTAACACCACACCTGACCAAGTGCAGAATTACTCAAACTTCTTGCCACTTTGATTAAAAACAGTGAGGAAACTATACAAATCTAGATCTAATGAAGTTAGAAGTAGCAAGATAATTGAAGTGTATTTTCCACCTACTGATACAGTACAGTACTACTTGCCAAATAAATGACTTTTGCACTGCTGAAA